CGGATCCATGCTTTTTCCACACATTCTACCTGATTCCAGCACAGACACTCTGGTACACTGTAAAAACAGTTCCGATGGTGAAGTCAATACAACTCTATTTTCTAATGTAATTTATTTGCCCTAAATGGATTTTTTTTCAATGTGCGTTTAAAAAAGTTACACTTAAAGGTGGGGTTGGTAATTTTGGAGAAACCAGCTCGAGTGCGCTAGGATTTGAAAATACACAGCCGGAAGAAATCTGCTACTTCCTTACAGAGCCCCTCCTCCAACACACACGAACGCCTACCCCACCTTTAAGTAACAATGAGAACATGTGTCAAGAGAATGAATTGTGTGACCAACCCAATGCAAGGTTTATTAGAAAAATAAACCATTAGAAAGTAGTATTTGATTTAGGCATGGTTTCCAAGAGATAAAACAGACAGACTACTGAAGCCTCCTCTCCACACTAACTTAATGCCCTCACAAATACCCAGGGGTTAAATTGGGCCAGGGCTGTCCGGGGCTAAGCCCTCGCACATTTGTCATATGTTTACAAAAAACGATATATATCTTAAGATTTTTCTCGTTCTTAATATAGACTATATTTAGGGTCGATATGTGTTGACTTTACTTTAAAATAGCAGATCACTGTGACCGGATATAGTTTGGTTTAGTGAACGTGTGTCTCTTCCTTGGAGGAGCAGCATCGGCCGGACTCCGCTGCTCCTCCGCGGCTCCTCCGTGCAGAGAGTCTGCACTGCAGCGGTGTGTGTCAGCGACGTGCATTCAGGGGAGGCACGGATTGGCCATCGGGAGAGTCGGGACATAAACGCTGCGGCTTTCTGGCTATTACTTAGCATGTGGGACCGGACAGCTTTGATCCCCATTGACAGTAGCGATTCTAGAGTCTGTGGGGGCCCCTCGAACCAGCTTTCATCACCATCAGAGGCGCCAACACACTCTCTCTCTCTCCCCCCCCCCCCCCAGACGGAGCAAGGCAACAAAACTTAAACACTTCAGAAACACTTTTTGTTATATTCCATGGAATGCTCTTAACATCCCGATAGCAATGAATACATGAAGCCTGTGGAAGCCGTAGTACTGTAAAAAGCACGACCAATCATCTGAGCCGGCCCGGCTAAAATAACTGGATGGCCTACCTGCCTGTCAGCCTTCCATCTGTGCACAAACTTATCTCGTGACCCCATTGGTCATGTGCACGTTTGTGTGTGTTGGAGGAGGGGCTCTGTAAGGAAGTCTGAAGGAAGAGGCAGATTTATTTCGGCTGCGTACTTTCAAATTGTTGAAGCTCGAGTTGCAGCTTTTTGAGCTGAACCCGGCCTCGCCTATACTCTGCGCAGTCGTGTATCGTCCACCAAAGTCCAATAAGGATTTCATAACTGACTTTTCTGACTTTCTGTCCCGGATCATGGTGAAATATGATCGTGTTTTGATCTGCGGAGACTTTAATGTCCATGTGTGCTGCGAGTCTAAACCTCTGGTTAGGGATTTTTTAAACCTCCTCGACTCTTTCGGTCTTATTCAGTCTGTGGTTGGCCCAACACACGATAAAGGACACACCTTAGATTTAGTATTATCGTTTGGACTGTCCATCTCTGTGGATGAAATCTGTGCAGCAACGCGTATCTCAGACCATTTACAGGTTCTGTTTACAACCTCGATCCCTTCTGCGGGAGTCGAATCACGTGCCCCTGCGCGTTGTCTGCGTTCAATTAACCCCTTGACTGCCTCACAGTTTTCAGATGCTTTTAATGCTTCTCCGATCTGTAAATTAGAGGTGAACTGTGCTCTTAGTGCTGATGAGCTTATCTCCATGTTTGATTCGACATGCACACTAATACTGGATTCCGTTGCTCCTTTTACGCTTAGACGCACCAAAGTTCTCTTAGAGCCGTGGCTCAATGACTGTACTCGCGCTCTTAGACGCGCTTGCAGGCGTGCAGAGAGAAAATGGAAAAAGGATAAACTCCATGTCTCCTTAGAAATCCTTCGTGCTGGCCTCTCCGACTACCAGACGGCAGTCAAAGCAGCCAAAACGGAGCATATTTCTCTGTTAATCTCTGAAAATAGCCATAAACCTCAGGTTCTTTTTAATGTCCTCAACTCGATCATTAATCCTTGTGATGCTTCTCCAATTGTGCCATCGACTACCCTCTGTGATAAGTTTCTTACATTTTTTATCGAAAAAGTATCTGCTCTTAGGCTAGCCCACACTAGTGCTACCCCAGATTCTGCTCCTTTTCTGTGCCCTGCTGTCCTCGACCATTTTGAGCCTGTATCCCTCTCTTCTCTCTCGGATGTAGTCAAGCACCTGCGGCCGACAAACTGCACTTCAGACAGCATTCCCTCTCGCTTCCTTAGAGATGTTTTCGAATCAGTTGGAGCAAGTGTTTTATTGCTTGTTAACACTTCTCTTAGCTCAGGATGTGTCCCAGCTGCCTTCAAACATGCCGTGGTCAAGCCACTACTTAAAAAGAAAAATCTCGACCCTTCCATTCTCACACATTTTAGGCCCATCTCCCAGCTACCCTTTTTATCTAAAGCCCTGGAGCGGGTAGTCTACGTCCAGCTGCAGTCATTTTTAACCACGCATGGCATCCACGAAAAGTTTCAGTCTGGCTTCAAACCCATGCATAGTACTGAAACAGCCCTTTTAAGAGTGTTTAATGATCTGCTCCTAGCCGCCGACTCAGGCAGCCCAGCTGTCTTGGTGCTGTTGGACCTGACAGCTGCCTTTGACACTGTGGACCACAGCATCCTGTTGTCACGGCTTGAACAGCTCACAGGCATCACAGGCTCTGCCCTTGCATGGTTCAGGTCCTACCTGACAGACCGTAGCCTCTCAGTGCAGTTGGGTGCCTTCTCCTCTGCCAAAGCCCCTCTTACCTGTGGGGTTCCCCAAGGCTCGATTCTGGGCCCCATCCTTTTTCTACTGTACCTACTGCCCCTAGGCTCAATTCTCACAAAACACAACATCCCCTTCCATTGTTATGCTGATGATGTACAGATCTATCTGCCTCTCAATCAAAATGCCAACTCACTACAGCAGTTGATGGACTGCTTAACAGAGATTAAATCCTGGCTGAGCCAAAACTTCCTCACCCTCAATGAGAGCAAGACAGAGGTCATCTTTTTTGGACCCCAACCTTCAGCCTCTCCGGTTGATATTCTGGGCTCCCTCAGTAAAAACATCCTCCACTCTGTCATGAACCTTGGAGTGACCTTCAATAGCGCTTTTAAATTTGATAAGCAGGTTAGCACTGTAGTCAAGACCTGCTTTTTTTTTTTAATACGACTATTGGCTAAGACCAAGTTGTTTTTATCTTTTAAAGACCTAGAAAGGGTTATTAACGCCTTTGTTACCTCGAGACTGGATTACTGCAATGCGCTGTATGTGGGTATGGACCAGGCCTCAATTAGACGCCTCCAGCTAGTTCAGAATGCAGCTGCACGTCTTCTAACTGGCCATAAAAAGCGTGACCATATCACCCCAATTCTGGCCTCATTGCACTGACTTCCAGTTCGGTTCAGAATAGATTTTAAAATCCTTTTATTTGTTTTCAAAGCCCTAAATGGTCTGGCTCCGGCTTATGTAGCCGAACTCCTCCATCGCTACACCCCAGGCAGAGCTTTAAGGTCTGCTGACCAGCTGCTGCTGATAGTGCCTAAGACCAGGCTCAAAACCCGAGGGTACCGAGCATTCGCAACAGCGGGCCCCAGGCTCTGGAATACTTTGTCCCTCCATGTGAGGTCGGCCCAGACCCTGGGGGTTTTTAAATCAACACTTAAAACTCACTTTTTCTCTCTGGCCTTCTAGGCTTCAGAGACCTTTTCCCTCTCTAACCTCTCGAGTTTTATTAGAGGGAAACGGTTTGTAAAGTGGCTTAGACAGGCCGGGGAGTGTTACAATTCGTAGACACAGCGTACCTCCCTATCTCTCATCAATTTCCAACTAAGGCTCCAGTGTGGACCTTGTTCCCTGAGTGTGCCTCTCTTACTCGCTACCCTTTACCCTCAACCTATTCTAAGGGAGTGCTTGTTCTTCCGTCTGTCTGTCTGTGTCTGTGTATTCTCTTGTTCCTCTTGCTGTAGTCCTGTGTCTTGGATCCTCTATCCTGAGTTCTGGATTAAGTCGTGGACTTCGGGTCGTGGCTGAACCTGTCTCTGCGGTCCTGCCTGGGTCTCGTCATGCTGCTTCCCTGATGGCTTCCTCAGGATTGTAGCTGACATCCTCGTGGCTTATCTTCTTATTACAGACACATGCATTTCCTAACATTCGGTCTATATGCTGTAAAATGTATTATCTCTTGGATTTACACACGGCATCTATTGCACGTCTGTCCGTCCTGGGAGAGGGATCCCTCCTCTGTTGCTCTCCCTGAGGTTTCTCCCATGTTCCCCTTAAACTGTGGGTTTTCTCTGGAAGTTTTTCCTTGTACGATGTGAGGGTCTAAGGACAGAGGGTGTAGTTTTTTCTCATACTGATATTCTGAACAATCTGTGCTATTGTATTAGCTGTAAAGTGTCTCTACTGTAGGCTATTTTTATTATATTTACAGCACTTTAGCTCAACCAAAAATCATTTATAAATGTGCTATATAAATAAAACTTGATTTGATTTGAAATTCTGGCGCACTCAAGCTGGTTTCTCCATTCTTACCTACCCTACCTTTAAGATACTTTCACATATTTGCCTTTACCAAATATTGGGCAAACTTTGATTTTGATATTGCACACATTGCAATAAAGTCTTATTAAAAGTACTACTTATGACCAAAAACTCTTAATATTCACTCTTGTCTCTTAGACATTATGCTGGTTACATTTGGATATTTGGCTTCAGTCTTGTGAGGAATTGCGGTATCTCCTCCTTTTTTCTGTTTGTTTGTCTATCTGTTTGTCTGTCTTCCTGGCTGGGCGTGGTTGACCTACTTTCCATTTTCCGCCAAACTCACCTCCGCTCCTGTTTCTCATCATCACTGATTACCACCACTCACCTGCTGCTGCTTAAAACTCCGGTTCGATCATCAGACTTCGCCAGTTCTTCGTATACTCACAGTGGTAAACTCCAGTTCCGGCTGACTAGATTTTCTAGTCTTTTTGTATACTCTTCCTGTTGGATTTTTTCGTATGCTAATCCTGTTCTGTTTTTTGCCTGTTCCAGAAACTCCACATTCCATTCCGTCCTGCCTGCCACGTCCAGCCCAACCTCCGTCTCAGCCCTGCTCTACGTTCTTCCCACTCTCTTCAGAGTTTGCTTTGTCCCCTGCCTGGTTTTTTGTGGACTTATTAAATCCAGTCTTTTTGACACTTCACCTAAGTCTCCGTCCCAGTGTTCTTGCATAGCGGGTTCAAGTTTTGTGTCTCTTTACGAGGAGCTTAACAAGTCTTACCTCACTCAGGTCTGTTCTGAGTCTTGAGTTGAGGATCTGCAAACAGACGGACTCTGAGAAGTTTGGATAACGATTTACATTTCAGAGATAAGTATCAATCTTTAATTGGAAGACAACACTCTGGCTCTGTCTAAGGATAGCATAATTCATCAGTTAAAAGTTTCACCGTTTTACTGGACATATATAATACAGGAGTGTTGCAATAAAAAGAAGAGCTTCAACTGCTGCAACCACACACCCTCACCGGCAACATCATGTACTAACAGATGAGTTACATCTCCTGCTGTTACTACAAAATAAAGGCTCTTTTAACCAACACTATAAGATCTGGCTGCAAATGTTGAATCCCAAAATGGCATTTAAACAACTTTCCTGTGAGAAACTTCACCGCTCAGCTCTTAATGTAGGAGCTTCTACACACGTCCTTTTCCGATGGTGGAGGCAGGATGATTCATGAATGTTTGGTCCAGACTTAAAGTGTTTTTCTCCCCACAGATAGAGCTACGCACACCAGCACCAGTCCAACACTTGGCAGCATTTAGTGTCATTATCCTGTGAAGCTAACACCAGCAAACTACCGGCTAACGTAATGCCTTCCCTCTGAGATCATACAAGTACACCAGCCAAGATAAAACCTGCAATGTTGCTTTTTTAAATAAAAGGTTAAACTTGTAAACAACTGAGAAGTTTGTTTTGCAGTCAAATAGCAAAATATTTCAAAATAAAAAATACTTTCCACGAGAGGTTGAAACATATTAAGCCTCATTTGTGTTCTTGTCAAATTTGACCCGTTTCAAGATAAATACTTTTTTTTGTATAGAACAAGGCTTCAAAACAGCTTTATAAACATATCCAAACCAGTGGGTATCGTATCAGTTCATTTTGAAGGTTTGAAAGTTATCTACAAAAATGCCAAGAATGTTTTTTCAATTACTATTTAAAAATATATTGTTGACAGGTTTACCCTATTTGTAAAAGGGTTTATAGTTTGCAGAAATGTGAATGTAAGTTTAATGAGGCCTTTATACCAAACTATTTTTAAAAAGATCATTAGATCAGCACTTTTTTTATAAAAATTATAGTTTTGTTGACGGTTTTATAATAATTTTTCTCAGTAATACAAAAGGCAGGATGCCAAGGTTATTGAAACTTAAAATAAAGGTTTCAGTGATGCCCCTTTCACACCAACGCGGTTCCCGTTCTAGCTCCGTGCTAGAGCTTTTCTGGTTGGGAACCGTTTTTTCTTTTCAGCCTCTGTTTTGTTCACACCGCCCAGAGCCCGAATGGTGCTGCCTCTGCTGCGTCATGACGTCACCGTTTACGTCGCTGATTTTCAACGGCGTCGGGTCGATGATCGTGTTGCTTTTAATCATACGAAGCCAGATTAAATTAAATAACTACTTCTCAACCCTTGTACTTTTCTCCAGAGTGCCGTGGTTCATTGTTTATTAATGTGTTTCAGCAGCATCTACCGACCGCTGCAGTGCTGCCTGCTGTTTGGCATCACAACGCTGTTATGAAAGTTTCTCTGGTATAAAATGGGTGATGTTAGCATAGCAACCGAAGCTAAACTGACTATCTTGACTACTTGTTGCTATCCTATTGTGGCATAAGCCGGCACATTTTACCGGCGTATTTTTCATTATGATTCTACTTGTGATAGTCGGACATGAGTCATGACAACCTGTGCAGCCCATGTATTGATTCCATCCGATAGCTGCTATAATACAAAACAAAACATTTGCCTGAAATGCCCCTGCCCCCGCCTCCGACGTAAGCGTGACGTATGTGGTTCTTGCTTCTAGACCGACAATTGGTTGGTGCTTGAAAAGCACCGCTTTTCGGAGCTTAGAGGCGGCTCCGCTGCAGTGTGAACAGGAAAAAACGGTGCTTTTCAGGCTCTAGCTCCGAACCGGCCCTGGAACCGCGTTGGTGTGAAAGGGGAAATATTGGAATGACCCCTCCCAGACAAACGGTGAAATTAACCCCGGCCCCCAAAGAAAGAAATTGGCTACTCACTGCGCCTCCTCAGGCGAGGGAAGGGGTTTCACTGGGGGGGGGGGGCTCCTTCTGAGGCTACACCTCCTCCTCCAATCACTGCGTGTTCTCTGTCTCTCTCCTGGCGATCCTCAGAAATCGCCTGTGGATTCTGTAAGCAGAGAAGGATGTCAATGAAGGAGTGTGTGTGTGTGTGTGTGTGTGTGTGTGTGTGTGTGTGTGTGTGTGTGTGTGTGTGTGTGTGTGTGTGTGTGTGTGTGTGTGTGTGTGTGTGTGTGTGTGTGTACTGTATGTCTGTGTGAGTGTGTTCGTGTTACCAGTACAAGTAGATGTTAATTAAGTGTGTGTGTGCGTGCGTGTGTGAACAGAGGGTGGTGATATGTGTGTTTGATTGCCTGAGTATGCGTTGAGGAGACCAATATGGGCCTTAAAAACTGCACCACTACAACTTCACCAAAAAAGGAGGCTGTAGTTACCGTGGCAACATGTGCCAAAACTGAGAAAGGGGATGAAGCGAGAGAGAGAGAGAGAGAGAGAGAGAGAGAGAGAGAGAGAGAGAGAGAGAGAGAGAGAGAGAGGACGGCAGTGTGTGACGTGGAGAAAGTTTCCTTTGTTCACACTTGTTGACTGTAAGCAGCACAACACGAGGAGCAGCTGGAGGACCAGAGACAGTCCTGAGAGCCGCTCATTGATATATTACACGCTGTGTGTGCGAGTGCATGCATGTGTGTGTGTGTGTGTGTGTGTGTGTGTGTGTTAGGGGTGTAACGTTATACGTATTCGTACCGAAATTATTCGGTACGGGCCCTTCGGTTCGGTACAGGTGTGTACCGAAGTGTACCGAACGAATATAACGTTAAACGTAAAAAATTGAGAACGTGAATAACTTCTTGGAAGTAATCTCAGGTGATGCGTCGCAGCATTCAGAGTAATTTGCTCACATTGGGTTCAACGCGTCATAGAGCGAGCAAGTCATTTCATTGGACGAGAGGCATACTATGAGAGCTGGTCAGAGGGATGCGTTCAAATGTAGTCAGTAATTTGAGGAACTGTCGAAATGGCGAACGCAGATAAAGTTGAGCTGAAAATCCTCCAGCATCATTGAAGTCTCCGGTTTGGGAACATTTTGGTTTCGCAGTTACGTACAAGGATGACGGACAAAGACAGGTGGACCGAACCAAAGCTGTTTGTCGCCATTGTTCAACTAACATTGGTTACGCGGCTGGCAATACATCAAACTTGCACACTCTTGAAAAGGCATCACCCGAATGTGAATATCACCGGTACCAAAAGAAAAAAGACTGAAGTGCAAACCCAACTCCCGCTAGCATGTAACCCTCCACCACTCGCAGAGAGTTCAGACCGAGCCAAAGCTATTACAAACGCCAAATATCCTTATGTTGCCATGTTAGCAAAGCGCTACCTGGCTGTATCTGCTACCTCTGTCCCTAGCGAGAGGGTTTTCTCCACAGCAGGAGACATTGTTAGTGACAGCAGATCTGCCCTTTCAGCAAGCAATGTGGACAAGTTCATCTTTCTTTAAAAAAACATGAGAATACAATGACAAGCAAGTCCTAATGTCAAACTGGCTGCTTAGGTACAGTTCAGTTCTAATACAGATTATTTCAGTTCATCGAAATGCTGCACCTTAATGTTTATTTCATTATATTGTGTATTTATTTGAGTGAATACAAACATATTTGAGGCAACCCCCCCCCCCCCTCAAATAAGAAAATGCATGCAAGTGCATGGCTATTGGCTACTGTAGACAACGTCCTTGTTGCTCTGTGTTGCGTTGTTAATGAGTGCGACACACCGGAGTTGAGGATCTGTGGGGTTTATTCTCCCAAAAATATAATTTACAATTTCCGCATTTAGCAGACGCCTTATTCCAAAGCGATTTACAATGACCAACTACAGGGACATTCTCCCTGGAGTAACCGAGGGCTAAGTGCCTTACTCAAGGGCACACTAGTGGTGGTGTTCCAGGCGGGATTTGAACTCGCAACCTTCCGATCATCAGCCCACCTCACCATCCATTATACCACCAAAATTAAATTACATTTATTTTTACAAGATCTATTTGTGGTGGACGATATTTAATTGTCAATTTAATTTCCAAAGTCCTCCTTCTCTCCACAAATGTTTTGAGACAAGAGTAGTGTTGAAGCTAATTGACTCACTCGATATTATTATTTTAAAAAATAAATAAAAGAGCCTTAATTGCTCTTAGATTATTAATGTTCTGGGGAAATTGGTTCCACCTGCAATTGTGTTACAGTGAAGCCAATAATGTCTCCTCAACAATTAATTTGTCACCTGAATGGGAACTTGATTGATATCAGTTTTCTTAACAGCTCTTAAAAACTACTCTAATTTTCATTAACAGATGTTTCAACAGCAGACATTTTGCCCTCACTAGTATTTATCACACCTGCGTTTCCTGGTTTTTAGAAGTCACAATGTCGGTTGTTTTATTCAGTCAATGATTTAAAGCCTTGGTGTACAGAGAATACATAAGTACATGTTTCCATCACCATTGGTAACCAAAAACTAAGGGAAATCCCTGTATATTTGATAGAAACAGGCCATGTTATACTTAAATATAAAAAGGTATTATAAACATGAATTCAATTATATTTATTGTCAGGATATCAAGCTTTGAATTAAAAATATGTAAATGTGTCTGTATGATATTTTAATCCCTTTTTAGGTTTTTATTTCTGCACATGTATTTCCTTTTTGTTTTGCAGTTGAATCTATTTCATACATTTTGAATGCACATTTATCTCAACTGAATGTTATTTTTTTTCGCATGAAGTTTGCATTTTATATCCTTTTGTCATTTTTGTTGTTGTTTTCAACAATTATGTTGCTTATAATAAAAGTATCAATATTAAAAAGAAATGAAAAGATGATTATGGAAAAAAACTCAAAATATCAGATCTCAAGAAAACTTGGAAATGAAGTTTACATTGTTGACGACAGATGGGGTAAATGGGAAATGTATAGAACACAAATCATTGCTTATGACCCTCCAGTTAGATTTAGCAATACATGTACTTATGAGCTGATGATGATGATGAAGATGATGATTAAATAACACTTTTAATTTCCTTTATTTCCCTTTGTTTCTCTTCTTTTCTCTTTCTCCTATTTGTGAATTGTTATTTATTTGAGTTTATCTGTATTTCATCTTGTGAGATATACCCT